CCTACAGAGGGAGTGAATAATGAATGAGCTGCATGACGGGCTGAGTTTATTGACACCAGGAAAAAGATGCAAATCACGTCGAGGAATGTGGTTGAAAACTTCCAGCCTCCTGCGTCAACATGAATCTCGACAAATGATCATTACGTCTCATCAAATCTGTTTCCACCACTAGAGGCACATGTTGACATTTACACGCAGCCGCACAGTGGTGTCGAATGTTGTTGTTGATCCTGAGGGAAATCTGGGGATTATATTCTTTGACGATGACAGTGTTTTTTTTTTTCTCTGATGAGTTTCAAACTACTATTGAAAATCAAGCTCAAATGTTTGATGTTTACCAGAACCTTATGTGACGTCAACATTGGAAGTAAATAGCTTTTCATGCTTTCATGTTTTTTAGTGAAGCCCGGGGACCGACTGTGTCCCCTAACAGTGTTTTATGTGGCCCCTGACTTGAATGAGTATTATTTACAACCCATTTGAACAGAACTAGAAAATTGTGCAAACCTAAGTTATGTCACTCTGGAGTGATGTTAGACTGTATATGAGAGGACTGGACTGGAGGCACCGGAATATTCTGGAAAGACATTTAATCAAACAGCCCTCACTCAAACATTGTGATTGTAAACAGCACCCTCTATTGGGAAGACAAGCTTTTATATAAGAATTGAAGACAATATAGACGATAAAGATGTGTCACATGTGTCAAACTCAAGGCCCGGGGGCCAAATTTGGCCCGCCTAGTAATCTTGTACGGCCCATAGGAGCTTAAACAGACCTGATAAATATAAAAGTTTTAAGCTTAACCTTGTGAANAACTTAAAAGTTTTAAGCTTAACCTTGTGAAACAGGAGCTTAAATCTTTTTTAATAAAATCTGTGCAGCAGAGTTTCTTAACCTGATAAATTAAAAGTTAAACTTAAAAGTTTTAAGCTTAACCTTGTGAATTTACAGTCTATGTTCGAGGCCCGAGCAGGAACTAATAATAAAGGGTTTTTTCTTTCAAAGGCCCAACATAGATAGAAAGAAATTCATTGTTGTTGTATCAGAGATGATATTTATTTTTCCATTCTTACATTTTTGACACTGAGAGAATATTTTTGTTGAGTCAAAATTTGTAGAATGGAAGAAAATAATAAACAGAGTTGGAGTCAACCTTGAGTCTCTTTGATCCTCTTTTGTTCTACTACATCTAATTATTTCCCGATTCAAATATTAGCACATTTTAATGATCATTTGACTGATGTCGGTTTGACTTCGCTAATTAAATTCCAGCCGTGACAAAAAGTCGGTGAGCCTTGACAAGAACATCGCCGCGGTCGGCACACATTCCACGTTCAAAAGAGTGACATCAATTCTTTTTAATTAATTCCAGTTTAACCACCTCGTGTCCAAAGCTTTCTATTCAAAACAATAACGCCTCGTCAAATATTGTCACATTACAGTCTGATCATTAAATATGAACCGTAACTTAAAATTAAATCTAAAAAAGATTCAGTTTCAGAAAACACATTCCGTTCTATTCAGGCTCAACAACGTTTTTCTGGTTGAATTCAGACAAATCTTCCAAGGCAAGAACAGAACTGTAGAACGTTACTTCATGATTATTTTATGGAATGTGACATGTTTTTTCTTTTATTAATGTTCCAATATTTTCTTCGTGATGTTTCAATGATTTTTCTATTCTTTTAGTACAACTAAAAAAAAAACAGTTTTCAGCCATTTAATAAAAAAAAAGCGATCACTATGAAAAGTCTAAGCGTTGATTCAGGGTCCAAAAGTTTAATTTAAATTCTATGGAGAAAAATGTGGAAACATTTTTTCATGAATAACCCAGGTTTTCTACAATCAGTTCAAAAAAAGATTCATCATTTAACTTTCTTTTTTCCCTCTTTAGCAGAACTGTTCAACATGGGGTTCATGACCCGAGGGGTGTCCACGCTGGTACTGCAAGATGGTCGGGATTTTTTTTTGATTCCATCATTTCTTTATCTTTTTTTTTTATCAATACTTTGTATAGTCACAATAAAAACACGACTGTTTGTGATGGAGAATTATGGGAATTATTTGAATGGCGTAATAAATTGTACTTCAGAGCCTCCTAAATACTTATAGAAGTATAAATATTTTTAGAAGTATCATTGCCTTTACATTTTTTATCTTTAAAAAATAGCCATGTAAAAACATATATATAACATTTTTATTTCTACAAAACACATATTGTAAATACTGCAGCTGTTCTCAGTCAGACGCTCACATTTAAATATGAGACACGAGTGAAACAAATGTGTCACTTGACTACTGCAAACATAATGACTCCGTAACTGCTTTAAATGAGTGGGGGGGAAAAAAGAGAAGTTATTATATTACATCCTCCAATCTTTCCAGTGAACTCCTCACTCACAGGAAACACCAATAACCACAGCAGCCATTACCCCCCCCCGCCCCCCACAGAGAGAGCATAAAATTGCATTTGTTTCTGATAAATTCTACCTAAAATGCTTTGCCTGAAATGTAATAAGTGTGGATGCAGTCCTGCGGCTGCTACAAAACTTTATGAAGGACACGGGCAACAACACTGTTTTTTATCTCTTTATCTGTTTTTTATCACATTTCAGACTTTATTGTTCAATCAGAGCAGTTCACATGTAACGATCCGATGCAATGGATCATTACAGCCCTAGAATCTATCACATTGCGGATATCACACAGTAGGATGATATCATCATCATCATCATCATCATTCATTGGCAGGGATTATTACAAACACCTTCACAGGGAGAAAAGGTGAGTCAGGCCTAGTGTTTGCTGGGCTCTGAGGACACGGAGCCTTCGGTTGTAAGAAGATGACACCGTTATTTAAAAACAAGTTTTTTTTGTCCAAGTGGCGTCAAACTATGTACAGCTAAAAAAAACCTTACCAAGTTTATTAAAAAGACGAGCAAGGCTTGAGAGAAACAGAGAGAAAGAAGACACACGTGGAACGGTACACACTGCATGGACGGTTGCACAAAATTACTGAGGGTTTGTGACAATGTAGTGTTATCTCCAAAAAAATCCTGTGTGTGTCCAGCACACACAACAATAAAAAAATTCTGCCTTACACTCGTGCACACACACACACTCACTCGCGCGCACACACACTCCCTGAAGAGGAATGAGGAAAAAGGAGTTAGGAGACCCTGGCTGACTGTATTGTTAGTAAAGTTGGACCGACGTACATGGACTAACTTAACAGGTGACGGATGTTCTGAACGACACAGACCAAAAACTCGAAAAGAAAAATATAAAAACAAAACAGTGAATCTGGGTTAACATCATTCCCTTTCAAGTATGTTCCTTGCATTTAAACGGACGAAAGATCTTTAAAAGAATGGTTTGGGTTTTTTGTTTTTGCCAAAATGGTTGGCGTTAAAGGATTGACTTAAATTTAATGACTTGCTGCAACATAAATGTGACCGGCGGCTGGTGTTTAGTTGTAGCTGAGTGAGGGCGGCAGCGCAGGGGACGACAGATGGACGGAAACGAGGAGGTGCTACGAGCACTTCCATACACACACGGCCAGACTTCCACCGAAGAACATGTAGAGAAGGTTCTTCACCTCGTGTGTGACCTCAAAGCCAAAGCCTTCACCGATCACCACGTGCCACGAGCTGCCAAATTTCTTGTCCATGGACTCTTTGATCATCTTGGCTGCACTCTGGCAGGCAGTAAAAACTCATTAGAGATTCTATTCTTTTATCTCTTTTATCTTTTTAAAGTCACACTCACCTCATTGTTGGTGGCAAACTTCTCACAGGCTGTAACACACAACTCCATGGTCTCAACTCTCATCTCCTCAGGCATATCCGTGTGCTGAGAACACACACACACAACATTTTCTTGAGTTGTATTTTTCACATTTGCTACGTGAAAAATGCTGAAAAATCTGTTTATCCTCTCAAACTAGTTTTGCAATATTTCATCACACCCTTTGTGATATTTGTGATTGCAGGTACAGTTTAATACTTTTAACCCTTAAATATCTGTGTTTACCAAACAAATCAGCGTAGGACATCATCCTCACTGTCCCCATGTACACGTCAGGTGCACTGACAACACACGACAGAATAATCCATTTACAGCATCTTCCACTAATCATTGTAGAAACAATGACATTACACGTCCTACATTCAACCTCCTCATATTTTGGAGATGGTCGAGATGCACAGAAAATATCTTAAATTTTCACAGTTGTATGTCCTCACCCTGATCAGAGGGAAGCTGTGCAGCCTCTTGTAGTCCTCTTCCTTCTTCCCCTCGCCAGTGCCAGCCATTCTGACCCCTGGAAAAAAACAAAACAAAACATTTGCAGAGTCTTGGTGAAATCAATCCACTCCAGTGTTAAAAAGTCTCCTATTTAATGTATTTCACCACCACATGTTATTACAGAGACCAAGGTTTTACACAGTTGTCAGAGACAGTGGACGGCTAGCAGCACTTAGCCTCCAACACGCTAACTAGCTACAACAACATTATCTAAATAGTAGATTTCGTGACAATAAATAAGCTCTACAGCAAATCTCAGATAATCACCACACAATTTATATTTTCGTTGAATTTTTGGGGATTTATTTGTTGAAAACTTCGAAGAACTTACCGGGTTTGACCAGCTAGCCCATGTAGCCTAGCTTGGTCGGTGGTAAACAGCTGATGCTACCGGTAGGCGTTTTCAATCTCAATTTAAGCTCATTTTAAAATAAAAGTTCACGAACTCTGTGCCGCAGGGTTTTGTCGACAGTCTATATTTATATCGGTAAGTGTAAGAGTTACTTACGAGGCGTTTGTCCAACGGAAACCTCTCCTTTTTCTCTCCCCTCGGTTCTGTTGTTAAGGAGACATTTTAAACAACACACTTTGGTGCTCGGAAGCCACGCCCACTATCACCTTACTTCGCTGCAATTCGTTTAGAGGCTGTCACTCAGCCCGCCCCTCGTAGACCGGAAATCTTTGACATAAACTGTACTTTAAACTTTTAAAGATATACAGTATATACAGTATATATATATATATTTTACCACAGCATTATTTATTTATTTATTTTTATTTTATTATTCCGACATCTGTATCATACCTAATATTTACATTAAAATAGTTGTTTGAATACAATTTTAAAATAAATCTGGCAAACAGAACTAATGTCCCAATATTTATATATAAATATATATATACATACACACGCATATACAAATATTAACATATATGTTCAAGTAAATAAACATCATAACATATTAAGTTAGAATTAAATATTTAACGGTATAAAAAATAAAAAAAAGATTTTAAAAAAAGATGCATTTTTCTTGATAAAAGATCAAATATAATGTGAGGAATGATGTACAACAACCAATACGTATGCATTCGACTGGAAAGTCTGTCTGTTGGAGCTGCCTCTCCATCTGCCTGTCGTCCTCTAAAACACTCACAGAGTGTAAGTAATACCTTCCTTAATGACTCTCTCTCTCCCTTTCTTTGCCCCACATTCAGCTAAAAGCACCAGTGAGTAATCCCCAGGTGGAATCCTGACCCAGAACTGTCAGTCTGGGCCTCAGAGAGAGAGAGAGAGAGAGAGAGAGAGAGAGATAGTCCCAGATTCTCAGTGTCATGGTTGTGTCTGTTGACCTGGGACCGTGTCGTTATCCTCATATAACCAGTTGGTCCCACCGCCACGACCATCACCGTCAAAATAACTTTCTGATGGATCTGAATCACTCCCTGAAGAAACGTAAAAAAAAAAAAAAAAAAACATTCACAGGACGATCTGCCTTTTCTCTGTCTCTGGTGCTGCCTACAGGAGGAGGAAGGACTTTGTGGATGAGAAGTTTATTTCTACTGTCTTTTCTTCTTTTCTCATTAACGCTGACAGATGTTTGGAAATTCCCCCGTGGCTCCGAGCAGCCGAGTTCGACCCAGTTTGATAACTCCGTTTGAGACTCGGATCGGGAACAAGATTCTCAGTCGGTAATTCCTTATGAAGCTCAGGGACCACAAGTGGTCGCCATCATCTTCTTTACTCTGCAATCTGGCTTTTATTAGAAGGACGTATCACACGTACATATTAGTTTAACGTTAGATTTGACTTTTTGAACAGATATTATGATTATTACACCTGGAGGTGAATCAAATTTTTTTTTTTAAGAGTGTTTTTTTTCTACATAAAGTTGTTTTTTTTTTGTTGCTGTGTTGCCTTTTCTGAAGCCAGAAATTCTGTTCATTTTAAATGTTATTTTAGTTTTGAGGGGGAAAAAAATGTTCCAAAGAGTTGAAATAATAATTAAAAAATTCAACAAAACTTAACACAAGGCAACAGTTGACACTACAGAAAGTCTGATGTTTGTTTTCTTTTGTCAGGAATTCAGAGTTTATTATCACACACAGCGATGGTGTATTAAACACCTGGATCATGAACTGAAAAGTATCAGAAATGTTTTTGCAGAAAGCGTCGTGAAAAGATGCCGACTGCTGAAAAGGAAGGAGGAATGAAAAGAAGCTGGATGACAAAAAAACATCTTCTTAACATTCAAATGTAGCGACACAGAAATACTACAGTTCAAGGTAAACTGCAGATCAACAGAGTGTGACTGTGGAAGAAGTGGTTGGACTGAAGAGTGAGAATCAATACCGTGTTTACATTAGGTGTTGAAGAGGACGTCTGTTGACCCTTACCTTTTGTTTCCAACTCTGTATGCAAATAAGACAAACAAATATTTACTGTCAGAGAAAATACATTCAAGACGTTACAGAGAGAGAGAGTGGTTGTGGGGGCGCGGGTGTGGGTGGGGGTCTGCCGGCCTCAGGCAGAAGTAATTAAAGTGCATGTATAATTCAACAGCAAAGGAGACAGAGGAGATGAAGGAGGAAGAGGAGGAGGAGGAAGAAGAAGAAGAGGCGGACAATGACATTTACTCTGCAAACGAGCTGTGACAATGGACAGATGATCTGGAAAAGAAACAGAGTGACGGACTGATGATGACCGACCGACGGACTGATGACTCACTCACCGACAGATTGATTGGATAATAATCACAGGTCATGTCAGAACCGACTCTTGGAATCATGTCCATTATCTACGTATGATGCATTTGTTTTCTATGTGAATTACAGCAGTTATTCAGGTTATAAAACAGGAATGTCCAATTTTGAAAAACCCCCATAATGCGATGTCCGGGTTTGACCTGGACGACTTGACCACAAAAAATATTTTTTTAATTTAAGTGAATTGTTATCATTGTGACACAGCACACACTACTCCACACAACAAACTGTTTACTCAAACGGCTACATACATATATCGGTAACGGTCGATATCGGAATCGGAAATTAAGTGTTTGGACAAAAAAAAAAGTTAATATCGGACGTCCCTAGTTTTTGCTCATGTATTTACATCTACCATGCATCCTTCATCCATCCATCATCCATCCTTCATCCATCCATCCATCCATCCATCCATCATCCATTCATCATTCATCCATCCATCATCCATCATCCATCCATCCATCGATACATCTGATTAGAAAATTAAAACCATCCATCCATCATCCATCATCCATCATCCATCCATCCATCCATCCATCCATCCATCCATCCATCCATCCATCATCCATTCATCATCCATCCATCCATCCATCCATCCATCATCCATTCATCATCCATCCATCATCCATCCATCTATCCATCCATCCATCATCATCATCCATCCATCCATCCATCCTATCTAACCCTTAAATCCTCTCTGTTTACCGCTCTGTAACTTTGTTGCTAGGCTACGTGGCGGGAAACCAAGACAAAAGACAAAAGGAATCAGTGAGAGGTTAAAACGTGGCGGGAAACCAAGACAAAAGGAATCAGTGAGAGGTTAAACATCAGAGCAGAGTTGATCTGATGTCTCAGATGTGTGTGTGTGTGTGTGTGTGTGGGTAGATCAGCAGGCGTGTGAGTCACTCCAGTGTCTGTCAGTCCTGTGAGTTGATGATCATCTCTGATGAATCATGTCTCCACTGTAGGTGAGATGACCAGGGCGAGTGAGGACACGTCTCTACATGCTGTATTTTAGTCCCCGCCCCCACACTCCCTGAAATGACCTGGAGTCAGTCAGACATGACTCTGAGCATCTGTCTGTCATAGCCACTTTATTTTGATTATTATTTTTTTAATTTTATTTTTTAATCCACCTATTTCACAAAGTCATAATATCATCCAGGAAGATGCAAATAAGGACAAGTGCAAACACCGTCAGAGCCGTCGACGACCGAAAGCAAGAGAGAAGGAAAGTGACAGAGAGAGGAGAGAAGACACAGAGGAGAAACACTGAACATTTAATTCTGTTGTTGATTTTCTTTTTTTTCTTTTTCGTCTTATTTTTGCAGGGCTGTGAGCCCAGACAGGCACTTTCCAACTGCTGACTGTCTGACAGAGGAGACTCAACTCTTTTAATCACAGTTCACCTCCACAGCACAGTGTTGACAAGGAACAGTGGAGCAGTGTGTGTGTGAATCGAACCCTAAACCTTTCCAGTGGACAGATTGAAATCGCTGCTCCATTGATGTCCATTTTGAACTGATGTTGCGTTAAAAAAAAAAACATGAATCCAATGAAAACACCAGAGCTGAGGTCACATGGTCTGAGGAGACGGGGATGAAGGTAAAAGGTTTGGATTCAATTCATTTTACAGCTCGTACCAAAGCTGTTTTCAAACTATTGTTAAAATCTGGAGCTAAATTAGCGAAGTGAAAGTGAAAGTGAAACTGCTCCATTGGTTGTGGTAGTAACTCTGGGTGAATACTATTCCGCGGGCTATAATAAGAGGCTGTCTGTATTTATGCCGTCGTTTGCCGTGTTTATGTGTTTCCTGTTAGAGTAAAGTCAAGACGCGGTGTTGTTGTTTGTCGACTACTGACCTCTGAGACGGATCGCAACCTACAAAACTGACATCACGTCCTATTGACGCAGACCTCTGGTACTGCCACTGGTACGAAGACACTTCTGTAACCAGCAGAACTAGGGATGTCCGACATTAACTTGTTGCCGATATCCGACGTGCCGATATTGTATATTTTGCATACAATCCTCAGATTATTAAAATAGATAAATAAAATCAGCTGCAATGCTGCCATCTAGTGACTTTCTCTTTCATGTAGAGCCGTTTTTCCCCAAAATTATTTTTAGGACACATATCATTTAACGAAACCCAGACATTGTGTTTTTCGGATTTTCATTATCGGAGGGAAAACCCGATAATGATCATTACAGCAATTACATAATTACGCTAATTTCGGGTCAGCCGATATTATCGGACATCCCTATAAAACGTAACTTTATCTTTATCTGCTACTTTTGAACCCACAGGCCACTTCAAAGGAAACATTAAACCACATTATTCAATATAAAAGTCTAAAGAGTTTGGTCTATTTTTTTTTCTCATAACTTTTTTTGGATGTTGCTCTGACATATAAGTCACGTTGACCTTTAACGAAGGCAGACCGTGAATCTGGGTTAGGCTAACTCCAGCGTACTAATTTATAATATAACACAGGTTAATGACCTTCGCTCGGCCTGTCAGGCTGACGGAGCCTTTGTTCAAAGTTCCAACATTTCAAAAGGTCAAATTTGACTGACGTGTCCAAAAGATAAATGCCTGCTGCAGTTTAGATGAATTTTTTTTTTTTTTGTTCTCTCAATTTTTCAGCGATGATCTTTTCATGATGTGATTCATTCCAGGTTTAATTGCTTTCACTTACTCACAGAGAGGTCTTTTCAATTCGCCGTTTGAGTCCTGCATTAATCATTAGACGCACCCAGAGCAGGAAATGGAAAATGACCGAGGCACAGACTTTCCAACATCTGCGGAGATTACGATCTGAAGGTTCGGGAATTGATGGCGTGGTATCAAAGACTCACCGTCACTTTAAATTCTGTTTTAATTTCGTTGGTTTTTGTTTGTTTGTTTGTGTCGTCTGAGTCGACAGCTGCCTGACGGCTGCCGCGGAGTGAAGTTAATTAAAGGAAGAGTCTTTAATTTACTGATGATGAAGAGTTTGATGCTGTGGTCAAGATGGCCATCACGGAACTATTTCATTCCAAAGACTTCCGGCATTTTCCGAGGATCAGATTCACATCGGCGTTCCAGTGTGTTACAGTTACCGCAGTGGTGCCCAACCCCCGGGCTGCGGACCGGCACTGGTCCGTGGGTCAATGGGCTGCGGCCCGGCACTGGTCCGTGGGTCAATTGGTACCAGGCCGCAGAGAAAGAATGCAGAACTGACGTTGTTTCCGTTTTATTTATATCTGTGACTCGGTCACACGTCAGACCTACGTCCGCTACCAACACGGCGGAGCGATGTTACGATGACGCCGCTAATAAAGTTGACTACACCGTAGCTTAGCGTTTATTATCATGATTTGAAAATACCAGTTTTTATGGCGGTCGTATCATTTGTTCAGTTGTTTTTATCCGCCACACCTTAAAGTGGCGCAAAAAAGGTCGGGAACCGCAGAGCTACTGGACGGACCGGGGCTGTTTTCATGCACGCTCGTTTGAGTTGCACCCAACGAGAAATCACATTACGTTTCCATTTGCTTCCGTTTATGTTTGTGATGATTTCATCAGTCTGTTTGTTACGCGATTTTTTTTTAGAGGTCGTTGGATTTGGATTCTGAGCAGAACTGTTGAAACCCGACTCTGCGGGGCTGTGGTGGAGTGTTTGAGGCTACAGCAGGGGGCGCAAACTGGCACAACATCAGCAGATACACTACACAATATACTGTACATATATAGGACCACTGTATGACCAGATCATGGTACAGTACACACAGAGACTTTACTCGACAGGTTCATTCACAGTTACCAACAAAATCAACAAAAAAATCCATTTCTTTTTTTCTTTTTTTTTTCAGAAGCAGCGTTGCCATGACACCGTCTCGTTAGTCAGCTGTCGATGGACGCTCAGTCGGCTGAACTGAATCACATAGAAATGCTAACATGATTGAAGGTCTCTTAGCTCAACACGCCCTGGTTTTTCCACACGTTGTTCCTGTTTCAGCTGAAAACCGAAGCCAGACTTGAATTTCTGACCAGAATCTCCCTTCGTTCTCATGTTCATGTCAGATGTTGATCCACCCACGCAGCCTGAGACACAAGAACACAAACCAGTCCAGGACCCGGGTCCTTCAGTCCACGTGAAGGGGCCTCGTTCGCCAGCAAATAAATATACTGTAAAGTCAAATATGGTACGCCTTTAAAATCCTACGACAACTCCTTAACTGAGCTACGAAACAACACCACCCGCGAGCCAACGCTCTCCATCGCCCCTCACTGATTTGTGCTGGAGGGACTGGATCTCTGTGGACCGTGACAGGGGTCCATGGACTCCTTGGTTGCGCCGCTGTAAACATCTACATCGTGGTCGGTCCAGGGGGCGATGTTCCCGAGTGCCGAGGAGCTGCATTCGGCCAGGGCAGCCACTTCTGCGGGTTTCAGCACCCGGTCCCACAGGTTGAACTGGGAGAGCTCCCCCACCAGGGCCTGGGAGGCGTCGAACCGACCACCCAAGGTGTCCTGGGGAAAAAAAGAGACGGGAGAGAGAGTGGTGAGGAACCGGCAGGAAACTGAGACCTGGATGAACGTCGTCACACTTCTAAATAAATAAATACTCTGGGCTAACTGTCCTCAAACCCACGCCCCCTGCAGGAAGTTGCTGTAAAGTGGATGAATTACCTGATGAAAACGCAGCAAAACTGTTCATAAACGACGCCTCAGGTTGAAGAA